AGATTGGTTTATCAGATCCTCTGCATCTCGTTTAAGAGCAGCCGTTAACAAAATTACTATAGCCAATTTGATAGCCAACGCTCGATAATCGAGCTCGGCACATAAATAAAAGCACTTAGCCTGAATTTTTTGAATCTGTTTAATCGTTTGTTCTTCGTTTGATTCGTCTCTAATTGCAGTTACTTGCTCATTTAACGTGATTTGGACCATCATTTTCGATTTAAGGTCTTTTAGCATTCGTAGATCGTATGATTGTGATTTTCTTTTCTGTAGTCTTTTGAGTTTGACTCAAAATACTCCCACTAATGAAACGTGGTCAGTCTCCAATTCTGCTCCAGAATAAGTCTTGCCAGATGTGAAGCTGTTTTGGAATATTTTATTTACTAAAATATAATATAATTTGATTTCCGGCTCTGCCTCGAGGTGATTTCCACGTACACAGCAGCTTTCAAGGTGGTAATTAGAATGTGTTGGTGACAACTAGTTCTCAGTCTTCTGCGAATTTTTCTAGGAGGTCTCCTCTCTCGTTTCTGACTTCAATCCATAGGCTCGTATCTCCAGGTCCAAGCTTGGCATTAAAATCACCCATAATGATGAGAACTTCCAGTCATGGAATTTTCTATATGTTAATTTTCTGATAAAACTTAATTACTTTTTCTTCCTCTTTGTCTGCAGTAGGAGCATAAAATTAAATGATGTTTATATTGATGGAGTCGACTTGTACTTGTAGTAACATCATTATTTTTGATATCTGCTGTAAAATTAATAATGAATTTGGCAACCTTGGGTGATAAGATTACTCCTACTCCATATTCATGTGATTCATCACTTTTTCAGAGTATTTCTCTAGAATCTGACCATCTCATTTCTGATATTCACATGATTTCTATATGCATTCCCTTTATCTTCTGTCCTTTTTTTCTCCTTTGCATAAGGATTTGACATTCCATGAGCAGATATTCTTTCTGCATTTCAAATTATCATCTTTTGGTCAACTCAAAACTATCCTTCCCGGAGATCCCATTGAAGGACTTACTCCGAAATTTATTTTATTATTGAGCATTGCCAGATTGATTGACTAGGGCACATCGCTATGGATCCTTAATGGGATATTTGGCCTATTTATGCTTTGGTTTGTTGGTTTGTTCGCCTTCCAACTTATCAACTCATCCGCTCGAGGTCGTTGGTCAGTAAGTAGGGAATTGCTTATACCGGCAATCATTCGGTGAATGACTCGCCACTCTGGTGAAATAGCTTGGCGAGTAGAGAGAGTACATTTAGGAATATGTGAGTGAGTAGAGGCGCGAGTAAAGTTACGTATATTGTGTAAAGGGCAAAACAGAGTGGTCCTTAAGTAATTGTACAAAAAGAAACCGTAGATTCTAAACTTTAAAATATTACGATTTAAGCCAAATTACTTTAATCAAATGTTGATATTAAGAAAGATACAGGGTATTAAAGTGGAAATTTAAAATGTTATTTTTCGCTATAACTTTTATGTTTGTCAACATTAATGTATAAAAATTTACAATTGGATAGTATTAAATATCAAGAATTATAATTTGTTGCACACTTTTCTTTTACATTTCTTTGTGTATTCTCACGTTTTGTCAGGGTCTCCGGTAGTCACTGTTAGGTCAGCTTCTGCCAATACTTTACACTTTTCCGTGTGTTTTGGGATCAATTTTTGTCTTTTATTTATGATTGTTTTACTGTGTAACTTAATGCGAATTTTGCTTCTAATAGTTTGTGGTCGGAACAACAGAATAAACTTAGACTTTATTCACTAAGTATTTGTTCACCTTTAATAAATAATGACGCAAATATTTATGTCCAAAATCCAAACTAGATTCAAATGAGGTTTCTCAAAATAGTGAAAGGCATTACAAGGCATAGACAGGAAAAAGAAACCTCCTGATAAGAACCAAATATCTACTCGATCGCTAAGAACATATAAGGGCACTTTACGAAATATATAATATATATATATATATATATAATATATATATATATATATATATAAATATATAATATATATATATATATATATATATATATATTAATATATATATATATAGTCCCAAGATTCCTAAGAGGAACATAGGGCTTCCACAAAGTGTCTCCAGCGAACTCTATTTCTGGCTAGTGCTTTGATTTCAAGCCAGGATTTTCCCATTTTTCTCCCTTCGTCCAGTACTGTCCTTCTCCAAGTTCCCTTAGGTCTGCCTACTTTCCGTCGGCCTTGGGGATTCCAATCCAGCGCTGTCCTGGCAATGTCATTTGGCGGTCTACGGAGTGTGTGGCCCAGCCATCTCCATTTTCTTCGCCTTATTTGCTTTATGACATTTTCTTGGTTGCTTTGGTTCAATAAATTTTCATTGGAGATTCGGTTAGGCCAAAATATACGAAGGATTTTTCGTAACGCTCTATTGATGAAAACTTGTAATTGGTGTACTATGGGTGCTGATATCTTCCACGTTTCGCAGCCATACAGTAATACAGCTTTTACATTTGTGTTGAAGATTTTTAGTTTCGTTTTAGTTGGGTAAATCCTGGATTTCCATATGTTGTTAAGCATGTTGTAGGCGTTGCGAGCCTTATTTATTCTTTCATGTACATCACGCTCTGTACCCCCATTAGAGTCAATTATGCTGCCCAGATATACAAATTCCGCTACTCTCTCAATTTTCTAGTCGTTGATCATAATAGGTTGGTTGTTTCTGGTACCAAATCGCATTTCTTTGGTTTTGTTGATGTTTATTTCTAGACCAACCTTCTTTGATTCTTCTTGTACTTTGTTTACTTGGAGTTGCATGTCCTGTTTTGTATGTGCTAGGAGGCATATATCATCAGCGTAATCTAGGTCTTCCAGTCTGTTTGTTAATCCCCAGTAAATTCCTCTATTAGAGTTTACCTTTGTTAGTACGGAGTCCAGTACAATGTTAAATAGTATGGGGGATAAAACACAGCCCTGCTTTACTCCGTTTAGCATAGCTATTGGGTCAGATGTTATGCCGTTGTGTAGGATTTTGCTTTCTGTGTCACTGTAGAGTTCTTTGATGAGATTTACTATTTTTTCTGGTATTCCTATTTCCTGCAGTGCTTTCCATATGGCCGTATGTGTGAGCGTGTCAAAAGCTCTCTTGAAGTCCACAAAGCACACAAAGAGAGGAGAGTTGAATTCCTGTGACTGTTCTACAATTATTCTTAGTGTGTTAATTTGGTCCACGCATGATCTGTTTGGTCTGAAACCGGCTTGTTCCTTCCTCAACATTGGTTCTACACTGTTTGTTAGTCGGTTGTTTATAATTATTGCTGTTAATTTATTTATAGTATTTAGAAGTGTGATTCCTCTCCAGGTTTCGCAATATCTTCTGTCACCCTTTTTTGGCATCTTTATTATTAATCCCGTTTTTAATTCTTTGGGGAACTTTTCCTCTCTCCAAGCCCTTTTCAAGAGTGGTTGGATTAACTCTGCCACTGTACCTGGGCAAGCTTTTAACAACTCTGGTAAAATATTGTCAGGGCCGGCTGCTTTGTGTGCTTTCAGTTTTTCTATGGCCATTTCTATTTCTTGCGTTGTTGGTTCGTTGGTGTTAATTCTCAGTTGGATATTGGGTATTAGGTTTTCTGCGTCTTCTGGTGGTGTTGGGACTGCACTTAGAGATTCGCTAAAATATTCATGCCATCTTTTGACTTGTTCCTGTGGCGTTGTAATATCTTCACCTGCAGCACTTTTTACAATTGGTTGGTGCGTAGTATATCTTTTATTGGCTAGTTGTTTAGTGATATTATATAATTGTCTCATGTTTTGATGTTCATCGGCGACTCGCTCTTCTTCGGCAAGATTTTCTGCCCACTTTCTTTTGTCTTTCTTTGCTGCCTTCTTGACAGCTTTATTCGCTTCTCTATAACTTTCTCTAAGTCGGTTCTTCTCTGCTGCTGTCTTGGAATTTAGTAATTCTAGATTAATGTGTTTGCGATGTTCTATTTTGTTCCACGTTTCTCTCGTAATTCACTCTTTCTTTACGTCTTTATTTAGGCCCAGCACATTTTCACTTGTTTCCACAAGGGCTTTGCTAATCGTTTCCCAATTTTTGTCCTGTCTTTCGTCGATTTTGGATCTCAGCTGTCGTGCGAATTCTACTTTCGTCTCGTTATTTTGTAGTTTCTCAATGTTGAACTTTTTTCGAATAGGTTTGTTCAGTTCTTTTCTATTCCTAGCTATTTTAAATCTAATTTCGGCCATCATCAGGTAGTGATCACTGGCCGCATCTGCGCCTCTCCATGATCTGACATCTAAGAGAGATGTTCTCCATTGCTTACTGATTGCAACGTGGTCAATTTGATTGTAGATGCGGTTATCTGGCGATTTCCATGATACCTTGTGGATTGTTTTGTGTGGGGACAAAGTCTCTCCAATGATTAGGTCATGGTTACCACATAATTCAATGAAGCGTTCGCCGTTGTTGTTTCTCTGGCCAGTGCCATGCTTTCCGATAACGTGTCCTAGGTTGGTGTTGTCAGTGCCAACCTTGCCATTGAAGTCTCCCATCATTATTTATTTTACTTTACGAAATGAAAACAGCATATATACAAAATGGAAGAAAATCGACTAATTAAACAAATACTCAATAATGATCCGAATGGAAGTATAAGTATTGCACGCCCTTGGAAAATAGAGCAAGTGTAAGATCGAGACAGTCCAAAAATAAATGCCTTATTGCTAGAATGAAGGAAATCATACCTAAAATGCAGTTCTCTTTATTAGAACAATATACGTTATTCTCAATATACAAATTTTTATCTTTTTGCGCCATCCAAGAGGAAATTCTAAAAATTTTGCTTTAAAAAATCGGGTTTTCTACAACAGATATTTGCTTATATTTTTTAAAGAATTATTTGAATTCTAACATAATTTCTGTATAAGGTAGATATGCCTTATACAGAGATGTCTTCATTAATTTATTGACATGCCCTTTAACTTACAATTTTTGTAGGAGGATCTTATCCTGTTTTCGCTGCTTTCAACTACGAGGCATTGTGGGTTTTGAAGATACCATATACAGCAGAGGAAGCCGATTATGAACTAAGTTATATGTGTTATGGAACCAAAGCAAAGCTGAAAACCTATTTGGTCACTGTAGATATCATTATTTTTGCACCTCTTTTTTTAGCTTTTACTTGGTTCTACATCCAAATCGCCTCGTTGATTTGGAAACACAGAAAACCGGTCGGCGCTAAGTTCAACAATTTTGACAATAAGTCAGAGGACTCAACTAGTAATTCCACGAAGAGCACCAATGTCACTACCATCGAGAACGTAAAACCGGTTGTTAAATCTAAGAAACAAAAAAACGTTCAAGTCCAAAGAAAAATCCGTACTTTCAGAATTGTTATAGTTTTAATGTTGTCTTTTATTGGCTGCCGATTTCCCTATTGGTTCTATTACACCGTGAGGGTAGTAAGCATTAGAAACGATAACATGAGCTGGAACCTACATTTTGCACTTGTAGCTTTAAATTTGCTAAATTGTGTGCTTAATCCACTACTGTACACGTTTTTAAATCAATCAGTTGCTGCTCTGAAAATAATCAAAGAGTTTATGCTGAAAATTTGCTGTTGGTGCTTCTCGAACGATGACTTTGATGAGTTTGAACGAAACAATCCTTTTAATAGAGACCAGGTGAATCCTGCGTGTGGTACAGTTAAAACTAGGCCTAAGTATGGTCTGCACGACAAGAACGATAAAGTACAAAAATACTAGAATATTTTGTGTAAAATGTTGAAAAGATATTTGTATGTATATTTTTGATAGTAAAAGTTATTTAAAAACACTAAGTATAGTTTAATAAGTAATTCTTATTCTTCTTTTAAAAAAAACTAAACCATGTTTATTTCATTATATTTAGCTGTCTTGTAAATTCTTTTTCCCAAGTTCATAAAGAAACAATTACTAAATTAAGTTACCCAGTTACCGGCCAAAAATTACGAATGAAAGAACCGACAACGGCAGAGCACTTCGTTTTCCAAATTTAGTCGTTTTTTCACAGATCCGCCTTGGCCTGGAACACAAATTACCTACCTCTATAATAGATTCTTCACGACCAAGGTTATTAAAAATAGACAGGTTGTCTAGTAACTTTCCAGCAGAGTATATCTGGTAGTCCGATTTCTTTCATTTTGTGGTATAGAAGTTGTAGGTTCACATTGTCATATGCATTTTCTATTTTTATGAATGTAGCAAATACCGACTTGTTGATGGAAAATGAGAAAATGAGAACAGTAAATTTACTGTTTGTATTTTAAGAACGATTTCCGAAGTGGAAATTGAAACGTCAATAAACGTATTTTTATCTTTAATTGTGGCTTATTCCCAGTTTAATAGTAATTAATTTACAATGCCACAAGAAAATAGCTTCAGAACAATATGGTTTATTAAATTTTGCATTGGGCCCCTATTTCCTCTCTGGAATAGAGCATTTACTAGCTAAATTGATAGAGTCACAAAATGTAGAATATTCTTGCTCTGAACCATCTGATATTTTATTATTCTTTTCATTGTTTAAGAGATAGGTAAAGAAAGCCCAGTCTGCCTTTTTAATATTCCATGTAATTCTAGATCTAGATATATCATTAGTTTCAATGACACCATTACTATTAGTAACGTTATTATCAGTATTATGGTTAAATTCTATTACTACTTCTATTACTGATCTATTGGGTAGTGATCAGAACCCAGACTCAAACCTTCTGTGTGTCAATTAAATTTGTAATAAATACCCCTAGAGCAAATTGTTAAGTCTATAGCAGATCTATTTAAATTCATAGGTCTACGAATTAATGTGTCTGACCCATCATTAAGAAATTAAGTCCACATTCCTCCATAGCCTCAAAAAGATAAATACCTTCTTAATCGGTGACATCACAGCCCCACATTTTATTATGGCAGTTGAAATCTCCCCCTATTAAAAAAGGTTTTTGTAAACTATTAAAAAATTTAACCCATTCGTTTTTTGACACACATAATTTGGGTTTTGCATAAATGGAATATAAATTTAGGTTTTTATTATTTATTTTAATCTGTACTGCAACGCACATGACATTATTTATTTTATAAAAATTTAAATTGTTCTGAACATTGATATTTTTTCTTAATAATATCGCTACTACTGCATAACCATCTGATCTATCTTCACGGAAGATGTTATATTGGGAGAAGCTTATCTTTGAATTCGGTTTTAACCAAGTTTCACTTAAAAGAATGGCTAAGAATTTATTTTCGAAAATGTACTTTTCAAAATGGCCTTTATTGTTCACTAGTGATCGTGAATTCCATTGTAAAATCCTATTATTTACTAGGCCCATTTAAAACTTTTTCTATATTACTTTTAATGTCGTCTAAAATTTGTTTGTTTGCTATTGGAATTAAGTTTTTGTCTAAGAAATTTTTAAATATTGTTACTATATTATCAGTAATTTGTTTACTAGTTAGTGAGTTTTGTTGGACTATTTTTGTTTGATTTTGATATACTGGGTTGTTTATAATTGGTAGCAACGGGTAAGCAGAAGCGCTTGCAGTGTCCAGATATTTTCGTGTTCTTTTGAATAAGGATAAACTGATTTATTTCCTGTGTTTGTTGAATTCAGGACTGTCCTATAGCTACTGCTGTATTTTAATTTTGCTTCTTCAAAAGGTAAATTTTCATTTGCCATTATATATTTAATGCCCTTTTGTTTTTCAAACTCAGCGCACTTGTTTCGATCTAATGCTGAATGGTTTCCGAAACATAATATACAAGTGGGATCTGTTAAATCGCATACATCTTAATCATGTTCCTGTCCGCACTTGCTGCATCTTTTCTTACCTCGACATTGTGACGTAACGTGTTCGTATCTAATGCAATTAAGGCATTGTATTACTCTCTGAACGTAAGGTTCCACTTGGTATATCATTCGTTCAATGATTACTTGTTTTGGAATCATTTGGCCTCTGAAAGACACCACTATCGTACACGTCTCCACCAGTTGATCATTTTCTTTTCGCTTTATTCTTTTAACTTTTATTACTTTAAAATTGCCGTATCTTGGAACAATAATACCTTCTAATTCGTTTTCTGAAATATTTTTGTCTACCCCTTTAATCACCCCACTCTTCTGAGTAAAAAAGTTTGGAATATATAAATCGTAATTTCTTTCGATTAACTTTTTACATTCCACTAAAATATTAGCGCTTTTATATGTGTTACATTCAATTTTAATTTTATTTTTTTCCTATAATATTAATATTAACAATATTATCTTTAATTGCAGGTACTGCACCTAAAATTAATCGTGCTGTCGCTATGCGATGCAATCGGCCAATGTTACCTTCCTTATTCTGCATAAAAACAAAATAAGGACCTTGGTCACCTTGACTGTATTTATTTTTCACCTCTGACATTATGGACTGGCCTATAATAATATTTGTTTTATTGCTTACCAGATAATCTGGTTAAAAGTTTTTTGAATTTGTTATCGGTACCTGTTTTGATTGTGTATTAATATCAATATTTATAATTTCCTCAGACTGCTTTTGTTTTTCATTAACTTCATAATCCATATTACTAGCAATATCGTCAATCCTTCCTCTGTCAGGTGGATTTCCTCTGCCATCTGAATTTAATTCCATTTTTTGGTAAAAACAACAACAACTCTATTAATTAGCACTTCGATCACACAGAGAACTATTCCGCTTCCGCTGTTACAATCGAACTGATTACTAGACTCTCGTTCCAGTCTTTAGGGATCTTGCTATTATGGAGAGATCTATTAAATAGCTCTGTTAGTACAGGGATTGTTAATTTTTTGCTTGTTTTCAAGAGCTAAGCAATTATATCGTCGTGTCCTGGAGCTTTATTATTTTTTAGCTCTTTTAAAGCTCTTTCTATTTCGAATCCCTTTATATTTGATAGTACTTCTGATCCCACGTTTTTTATTTGTCTTTTGACGTTCTACTTTGTCGTTACATTAGGCTGGCTTGGCGAGCTGTACAAGGATGTGTACCGATGTCTTCGACAATATTTTTTATTTCATATTTTTTGTCCTTCTCTTCCTTATTATTGGCGTCTTTAATTTTGATGATTTTTTGAACTTCTAGTGCGGGTCTTAGACATTTTAAGCCTCTGTTGTATTCAATGACTCGATCTATTAAGTTCTCGTTCCATTTTTGTATGTAGCGTTTTAGTTATTTTCTAATTGTTTTATTAAATTCTCTGTCTTCTTGAGTATAGCGTTTGTCTTGCGCTAGTAGTTGTCTTCTTTTCGTCATTAGTTGTTTAGTTTCATTGCTTATTTTGTCTTCTTTAGTCCTTGTTTTCTTTGCGATCTGTAGTCCGGCTGCAAGAAGGTTTTTATTTATGTTTTTATTAATCTAGTCAATTTGATTATGCGAAGGATCAGATTCGAACTTATCCGCTAAGCTTTCTCGAAATTGCTCTTTATCTGTTCTTAGTTTAAAGGCATTTATCCTCTTTGTTTTTTTTTTTAATCCTTTTTCTCTTCTCTTTCATGTGAAGATTTATTTTTGCTCTAACTATACGATGGTCATTTTGGTCAATTTTTGAAGTAGCTTCTGGAATATGTTATTCTGCTGAGGCCAAAAAGGTACTGTATCGCCGTTTTTTGAAATTTAAAAACAACATCAGGTTTGGTCAGCTGTTCTAAAACCCAAAAAAATACCACATCGAATATGAGACTCGAACAAAGAAAAATATGTTATTTTGGAATATGCTAAAGTAATTTGCTTCGAAATAGATCTTATTACATAGCGGGCTGAGGTTTCTAAGAAATCAGAAATAACTTCCACCAACATGGTTTTAATTTGAGGGGATTTTGCACCACCTCTGCTACAAAATTGATTTGAAATAGATGATTTCCACCGTTTTCTTAGATATCTTACCATAAAAACTAGAACATGATCTGCTATATGTGAATCTCTCTTGTCTCCTATGTCTTTAAAGCCTGCTATACACCTACTATGCTCATTGTAATGTATATCAAATATTATAGCTATATGCTTATACGTTCCTTTCATTTTTGATATTGTTGCTTTTAGTGACTCAAATATTAACTTACCTTAATACCTGAGTCCCCAATAATTTGAGCCAGAAGTCTGTTTAATGATGACTTACTGGGTAAGATACATAAATTGGAAAGAATACTATATGAATGAGCACTTTGTTTGTATAGAGACGAAGCTAAAGATTTTTAATTAAGAGTTACAGTACTCTCTGTACTGAATTTGAATTAACATAGCTGCCATTGTATGAATGTTCTGAGGATCAACCAATTTATTTTCTTTATAAAACTCTTTAGCTTCAAACAGTCTGCGTTTAAAAGTCTGTTTACTATTTTTTGTAAAAAACCATATTTAACTAATTATTAATCTACAAAACAATATTCGAACGCCAGAAACACTTAAAACACAGACTACTGAGGTAGGTGATTTGTAATTTAGAAACTGATTTGAGGTTAATGCTAAAAATAACCTAGAGATATTAAATCACGATTAGTTTGATTTTTTTTGCAATTTGAAATAATAACCCTCAAATCAAACAATAATTATGGACGCATAATATCAATGACGGATGCTAATCAATTACTGACAGTTAACCCCCTCCGTGGCTCAGTGGTAAGAGCGCCTGCCTTTAAACCTAAAGGTCGTGAGTTCGAATCCCATCTGGGTGGAGAAATTTTCGTTTATTAAAAATTAATGATTGAAAATAA